TAACACCAAACGGAAAGTTGCAAACTTGACATACTTCGCTCGAGTCCGTTTCATAGCATGGGGGTGCGGACCGTACCGGGTGACACCATTCCAGGGGGTGACACCAATTGAAAACTTGCATATTTACAGAACACACACTGCTCAATCTAACCGAATTTCATAAAAAGATAGCAGATCACAAGTACATTTTCCACACATGGAACCAATCCGAATGCGTGATTTATTAAAGTTCAAGGTTGATGCGTCAAAAGGATTCAACGCCGATTGAAGTGTTCGGTAACTTCCGTAAGTGATAGTAAGCTATATGTAAAATCTGCATTCTCATTACTAAAGCTTTACATTGTTACCAAATACGATATGGTCGGGGGATTTCTAAGTACATGAATTGAATGTGTAAAAATTAAAAACACTAAAAAATTACTTCTTTTTTTTTACCCATTTATAAAGTTTAAAAAAATAATATTTTACGCAATTTTCTATTTCTTTTATTAACTAATTTAAATTTATTTAAATGTAAAAAAAAAAAAAAGTATAGTTTTTGAAATCAAATTAAAAATTAAAAACAATAAAAAATTACTTTTTTTTTTTTTACCCATTTATAAAGTTTAAAAAAATAATATTTTACGCAATTTTCTATTTCTTTTATTAACTAATTTAAATTTATTTAAATGTAAAAAAAAAAAAAAGTATAGTTTTTGAAATCAAATATATCGAGACCCAGAAATACTCAAAAATAAATATTTTCTCCGAATCGTCACTAGCGCGGCCCCTTAACATTTGAGTATGATTGTCATACAGCACAAGGTCTTTTACATGCTGTCGGATTTGACGTTTATCTGCTACCTTTACCTTTGGGCTGATCTACTTGAGGAAGTTAATCTTACACAGCAGTATCTGCAGACTAACGGCTTTTACTCTTTACATAGTGGTGACCAACCTAGAGGCCATCAGATTGTTTCTGCACGAGAAGCTCTGTCTCTTTGTGGCACATGCTCTTGAAAGGACACTTTTAAAATCAGACCGTTATGCAATTTCGGTAGAGAGAAGTTTAAGGTTTAAGAAGAGAAAAAACGGGGGAGGGGGGCAGAACAATTAATAGATGTTGGACTCTCTCTGCAAGAAGAAAACAGTAGGGAGATACTGGAGTGTATTAATCACTTTCATTCTCAAACCCAGATCAGATCTTCAGCATGTCAAGGAAGTAGCAGATATGTTTTGATGTGTTCAACCCCAGAGTCTGCTATCAGCAAGTGAAGAAGTGCTGCGGTGTCCGTTCCAAAATTAAACTCTTTCTATGTTGAATTATCACAAGAGGAACTTTTAAAAGAAATAACAAGGCTCAGAAGACCTAAAGACAGCTGATATGAAATTTCACAAAGTCATGGACTGGTCAGTATTTGATATTTTGAAATTCATAACTGAATGGCACTTCCTAGAATCTCATACAATACTCTCGCTAAGCCTTCAAATGGCTTCTGACGATCTGTGTGTCTATGGCTTCATGTGAGGGGAGCTTTTCAAAACTAAGGCTTATCAAGAACAATTTTTTTATCCATCATGGGATTTCTGATCTGGATGTACTATCTCTTGAAAAGTGAAAAGGTGAAGGAGATTGATTTTGATCAAGTGACAGGTTTGCAGCTTTGAAACCCAGGGAAGGAAAATTTTAAATAAATTAAATAAAGTGAATTTAATGTAAAAATACCATTGTTAAAGTTCTTAAACACATTTACCTACTGAGCTTTAATTAATTTTTGTTCTTGGCATTTTCATACTGTTGACTTCTTTTAAAAAGAATTAATCCATCATGGAAATCGGGGGGGGGGGGAGGGGGTGGGGTGACGCCGCGAGTTTATCACACTGTTGTCACCAACCCTAACTACTCCACTGACATAGCTAAGTTTAATATAAAGGCAGGGTCCCACCAGACACAGTGCCACCACAGCAGGGTCCCACCAGACAGAGTACCACCACAGCAGGGTCCCACCAGACACAGTGCCACCATAGCAGGGTCCCACCAGACAGAGTGCCACCATATCAGGGTCCCATCAGACAGAGTGCCACAGACAGAGTTCCACCATAACAGGGTGCCATCAGACAGTATGCCACAAGACAGTGTGCCAAAAGACAGAGTGCCACCATAGCAAGGTCCCACCAGACAGAGTGCCACCGTAGCAGGGTCCCACCAGACGGAGTGCCACCGTAGCAGGGTCCCACCAGACAGTATGCCACAAGGCAGTGTGTCAAAAGAAATAGTGCCACCGTAGCAGGGTGCCAGCATAACAGGGTACCAACATAATAGGGTGCCAACATAACAGGGTGCCATCAGAGTGTCAAAAGAATGAGTGCCACCATAACAGGATGCCACCAGACAGGATGCCACAAGACAGAGTGCCAAAAGAAAAAGTTTCACCATAGCAGGGTGCAAACCTAACAGAATGACAACATAACAGGGTACCATCAGAACGTCAATTGCGTTTATCTATACTAAAAGACCAGTGACGTATCTTAAGTTTGTGACGCCCAAAGCGGGTCACGATTTAGTGGTGTTCGCTTAAAAAAAAATTATACCCACAATGAACTCAAACGTGCATGGCCAGCAGAGCGGAAGGGTGAACCGAAGGTCCGGGGGGGGGGCGGACACCACGAGTTAACCTCACCGGGTGACGCCTCTGCAGCTTATCTCCCGCTTTTTTTTTCCTCTTGGGGTGTATAGTACCCTGACCACTGAATCGCATCGACGATCTGTTCAATCGTGTCACAATGTC